ATTGATTTGGTTTAAGTTATAATGTCAATCTCATTCATTGACTGTATAATATAAATCACCAGATAGTAATCTACATAGAGTGTCGCTACTGCATACGCTTTTTTCATTTTATATTACTAAATGAACTTTAACTCCTACAGAAAAACACATCAATGAACACCCGTAACCAAAGGAAGATTTCAAATAACTGCAATTTTAAGCAAATATAGAAAGTACTTCTTGTACTCTATCTTTGCCGCAAATCTGCTTCAGTACTCAGCCAATTTTTAGCCAACTAGGAACCGAAAATGGGTCTCAGTTTCACCTGTATGTTTGATGTTTGTGCGAGTTTATCTCGCGATTAACTGAACTGATTTTCACGGCGTTTTCAAATAGAGAGGTGGGCAGAAGGTAATTAACTGACTTCCAAAAAGGAGGGGTTCAAGTCGGTTCTTTTAATCGTAGAGGTAATTTATAAAAGAGTTATTAACTAATATAACGTTTACGAAAGTAAATTGTCATTTGGGTAGATACTAATGATAACATACATAACATAACATCACGCCGTTTATCCTCTCGAAGGGATAGGCAGAGGTGCACATTAAGGCACCCTAATGCCACTGTACAATACCAATAAAACTACGTATATCAAGAATCAACATATGGATGAATGACATGTGCAAAATGGCACAAGAATGCAAGTATGCAACATTTAAAACTAAAACCTGAAACTTTATTAAATTTATTACATTGAAATACCTCATTTAAATTTATTGTTTTTCGAAGATTGTAACTTTAAAATGACCTCAGAAATCTATTATTAACTATACCAAAGTAATGCAATTAACATTATGAAAATACTATTTTTTGTGGGTTATATAATTATCAGATAGATGATATAATAAAAATAATAAAAAGTAGTCACACTTGTAGTTCTGCTTGTGGACTACATGTATAATTATAAATAATTAGTTACGAAAAACGAAAAAAAAAGTGCTCCAAAAAGTGAACTAAAAATCTGGTACAGTGGTTCTGCCCCATTTAAAAACTAGCTCAGTGCTTAAAATTAAATATATAACATCATATAACATCACGCTTTTTATCCCCGAAGATATAGGCAGAGGTGCACATGATGGCTCTGCCTCTGTACAATGTGACACACACTTTTTACTATTAATGTTATGAGTCCCATGTAATAGGGGGTGAGCCTATTGCCATATACCGGGCACAATTCCAATAATACTTTGCCCGACCCAGGAATCGAACCCGAGACCCCTTGCCGTACTTGTGACTCGGCAAAACGAGGCAATCAAATATATAAATCAAATTAAAAATATTTTATTTGTATCTAAAATATATTTCAAATTAATCATCGATTTTTTTAAGTTTTGATTATTTTACTCCATCAATTAAATTTCATTAACTTATAATTATGTTCGCACATATGGGCCATAAGTCTCATATTATATAGATCTAGATGTTTCTAACTATATATCTGTTTCGAAATTAAAGCTTAGCTGGAGTTTTATGCATTTTATAGATATTTAATTCTGGATATAATATTAAATGAATTCTAGAGTGAAAAACATTTCGACCAAGAATTCCCTTACATATACATATGTAGGTAATGCAGGAGCCTAATAGCCGTTTTCACCATATACGCCCAGTAGTTTGACTTTTTCGGTCGACTTACTAAATTGCCTTAATTTTCTCGATTTGGTCTTCTTTCCTCACGTATATACTATATTGTATACTATATATCCAATCGCAATAATATCATTTAAATAATCATGTGAATAATCGTGACTGATTCATGGTAGATGTTTCATCCACACGCACGAAGCGCTTCGCATCAAGCTTTCTCGTGCGTACTGCTAAGGATTGGAATTCTTTGCCAGAGTCTGTATTTCCATAAGGGTATAACCTGGGTGTCTTCAAGGCCCGAGTAAATAGGTTGTTTTTAAGGGGGGAAAATCATCGAATGACTGCTCCCGCCTGGGTGAGGCGGGAGGGAGTGTCAGACTCTTACTGACTAAAAACCACCCCGTTCCTTATGGTATAGATTCCTTATGGTATGAATAGGTTGCTTATGGATCGACGTGCTCCATCATAGGTCACATCATCGCTTACCACCAGGCGAGATAGTGGTCAAACGCCAGTCCCATCTAATATAAAAAAAAAATTCATAACATATTGACGGTTTTTCGAAGATTGGGGAATTCGGTACCCTCACTCATACGACAAACGCAAACGTTGTTTCACGTTCATTATCTGTGAGACCGTAGTAACACTCCCATAGAGCTGGTTCTTTGCCCCAGGATTGTACCACGTTTTGTCTTTGCATTAATCCAGGGTCAGTTCGGAGGAAGCATTTAACATATTATATTTTTGATATTTGATATTTTTCCTGACATTTGCAATTATATTTGAAAGAAATATGCGGAACAACACTCGTTATGGACTTGGGCAAGGCTAGTTAATTCTTTTTTTGTTAAATACTTTAAATAACACATAACTACATATAACTATAGAATATAAATATATAAAATAATGACGTTTAATGAAAATAACAATAATTATGATTAGTTTGTTTTTATTTCCTAGACTTAGTACTTTTGACCGCAGTTTTTCCTGTTTTTGTCGTATAATTTAAAATTCTTGGAAGATGAAGAAGAAGATTCTCCCAAGAATTAGGTTATAAACACGCAAGTGGGTATTCTATTCGTCCATTCAAATTAATAATATTGAATTACTAATTTTGCACTAACTTTCGTCCATGAATTTATTCGTCAACATTGTTTTTGTCAATAAATGTAAAATTATGTTATTAGCGTTATAATAAGAAAAAAAGAAAGAAAAATAATTTATTCGCCACCAGACATGGACCACCGAATATTAACACACAAAGTAAACATTGAAAAAAAAAACAATAAGAACATAACAAAAAAACAGCAGTTAAAAAAACAATGAAGGAAAAAAAAACGTTATAAAAAAGCAAAATAAAAGAAGCAGGGTAGCAGCATGTCCACGATGAAAGTGCTCGCCAACTCAGTTTAAGCTGGGCACAGTAAGTACCCAACACTGGCAGATAATATTATGTTCCTCATTTTTGAAGATTTTTTTTTAGAAAAATTGGTGCAAAAATTTTGATTGTGTAAATTTCACGTTTGTCGCAATGGTTCAGGGATAGGTTGCCTACGTTGTGCAGCGTGTCACGATTCAAAAACTCTTTGTGTGATTCAAAAAATGTTTGGACTAGCGAATGTCATACTGAAATTTGTGTTGTAAACGCAAAAAACCTAGTGTAGGGCAACGTTTAAAAATACTTTGAAAGATTACAGACAAACAAACATCACTATTATAATACATGTAGGTACCTATATCACGTACAAAAAATATAGTTAGGTAACAAATAAACCATAACTGACCTTTATTTTTCCGCTTGACATCGTAAAATGACGACAGCATTTTTAATGTACAAACGCAGCCATTTTTTCTAATATAATAAATATCATTAAATTACAGATTATAATAGCTACATTAAAACAAAATAACGTATATATCTTGTGTTTTCTTTGTATAACATTTATGTGACGAGTTTTTATTAATTGCATAACTTCTTAATTTATTTTGAAGGTTCTGTAGTTTAATTGTTATGCGAGATTTAATTTTTAATTAAATTTGTTTTTTTTTAAATCGTTTTCCTACATATTTTCTCCTGTGTCGTGGGTGAGTTTACAAACATACAAGTTCACATACACATGACACCCAGACCCGGAACAACAATCGATAGATCACACAAAGAGTTGCTCCGTGCAGGAATCGAACCCGCGACACGTTGCGTGGCAGCAAGTTGTCCCAGCCACTGCACCAACCGTGCAGTCACACAGTATAGTATTTATCGGATTACTCACGTAACTGTTTGACAAGATAAGTCGACCAATTTCAAGCCACGCTAAGAGCTCATACATATTGGAACGTTGCGCAGATAACACAATTAATTAATTTAAAATTTCTCACGAAATTTATATTTTGGCAATTATTTAACCTATGCTTTTAGCAATTTGAGATACAGGTGCAGGTATATTTTATGACTTTCTCTGTTTTCCACCGTGTTTATAGTTATATTTTTCTCCATATAAGTATGTAATGGTACTGGTTTGCCCAAACAAATAATTAATTAATTTCATTTAAAAATATATAATATGCATATATCACTATCAACAGTATATAAGTGGCCACTGCTGTCCAAGCCTCTTCTTGCACAATGAAGATATAAAAAAATATATTAAAAGTTATAAAAATCAATCAATATATAGGCCCAACTATGAAGTACTTAATATTTCAAAAAAAAAATTTATGTTAATACCAACCTATTTTTTCCCTTCTATCTCTAGGTAAAGTATCTTGATTAATGATTGATCACCGCCCTTGCGCATGTTGAATTGATTGAAATGATGATTATACATATTATATTGTTCACAACAACCGCGTTGTATTAGTACAAATTACTGTCAATAAGAAATTAATCGTTGCAAATGCAAGAAATTGTAACAAAATTATACATGACCATATATAAAGGGTTTAGCAAAGATAATGCCTATTTCAAAAATGATTATCGCGTTTTTGATTATTCTGTCTGTCAGAATCATAGTCCAATACTTTTATATTATAGAAATTTTAGTGCCACACATTGTTACGCATCTAGATAATATTAATAATAATTAATTTAAAAAAACATAAAATTTTCCAAGAATCATATTATTTTAATTCCATTAGAACCCTTCTTTACAATTAAAAATAGAACATCACGTGCGTTAACCGCATACGTATAATTTTAGTCGTTTAAAGAAATGACGACGATAAAAAAACTGTTAAAAAAATTGACACGTGACAGGCCGCAGGATATTTAATGTTAATTCGTGTATATTGTTTTTATCTAGTTTTTTGTGACAGACTTATAAACATATTTTTTTAATAATATAATTAAGCCAGTTATATAATCAGGATACCAGACGAGCGTAGCTGCAGTTCCACTTAACATTTGTCTCAAAAACGTCTATATGTACGTATCTCTATTACGAACTTGATTTAGGTATCTTTGTATATATAAAAGAGGACATTTCTTGTCCAAGGAAAATAAGTTTTTGATCCTATTGCGGTCAGTCGTGTCTTGAAGTGGATCTAGTATAAATTAATTATAATGTACAGCAAAATTTGTATTTTATTATTCATATCGTACACTTGTCTCGTGACCGCGGACTCAGGTATTTATATTTTATATTTTCTTTGTGTTATTTTATTGTAATCGAAGTATTTTTTATATTGGTTTAATTAAATTTGACATAAATGCTATTCTCATCACATAATGACATTATAAAATATATTTTATCAAAATACCTATATATTTTTATGCATAATGTACACAATATATATTTATTTTTTATCTGGATTTCCAGTGTCGTTCATCAAAAAATGTAAATGGGACGATGGTAAATGTGCTAAGGAATCAGGTCAAAGTGTATTACAGAAGTTTGCTGCTGGTATATCAGAATATAATGTGGGGGTATCTGATCCTCTTCAGATCGATTATGTAGACGCTAGTTCACCAAACATGAAATTGATTGTCACCGATGTTGTGGTCACCGGACTGAGGAACTGTGAGATCAAGAAGATTCAGTAAGTAGCTCTCCTTTGTTTTTTCATACCATATTCTTTAGATATATGTTCAAGCACGCCCGAGCAGTGGTGTCAGTTTCTGTTCATCTTTAGGTTATCAAGAAGATTTCACTGAATTATTCATTGTATTAGACTCTTCTTCTATTTTTCTAGTATCGAGAAGTGTTTTTGTACGTAAGAAGTTTAAATAATAAGCTGCTGATAACTGACATTTTTCATATCAAAACCTAGGAGTAGTGAAAAAATTAACCAGTGAAATAACTTCATCATTTTATTTTTATAATCTGAACCAGCCTTATTGAGCCAATCTTAGAATATTCTAGTATAGTTTAATCAATACAACCCAGAACGTTATTTATGCCCCATAAATGGCAAACTACTTACTAATCTAGTAATTGTTTAAACTAATTTAGATCTAGTCATTTAACAGTTCTATAAAATATGCTCAAAAATTTTTGTAATTATTGAGTTGATGAATTTAGTTTTGATTATCGACAGATAGAAGATATTCAGTTCTACACAAAGGCCTCAGTTAAAAGCTGTCCTAACTATTATGCATATTATATCCAACTATATATTATAGTATAGCTAGCTACCCAGTGGTATAGTATACCTTCTCTACTGACAGACTAATATAAATTTTTGGTCTATACTTAATATACCAATATATATTTCCTGGGCACATCTTTGTGACGTCGTAGAAATATATCCTATAGCGGCGTGAGGGGTTTCTCTAAAATTTGTATTGAAAATATTTGATAATGTGCCTGGCTATACCTTGCTGTTATATCATATTTTATAGCTAGGTCTGTGACGGCTTTTAAGTTGTGAGGATATCTGATAGACTTTTGAAGTGACTTAGGTTAATGGAAATTTGGAACAATTGCTATATATTCCTAAGTGTATAAAATTGCCGCGGAGAAGCTAATGGATTACCGGAGCTCCGGCTCGAAGTGCAGGCGTTGGAACGGGGTGGTTTTTAGTCAGTAAGAGTCTGACACTCCCTCCCGCCTTACCTAGACGGGAAAAGTCATTCGATGATTTTTCCCCCTTAAAAAAGTGTATAAAATTAAATGCAGTTTTACAATGATACATATCCGACCCCAATCGACCATTCTTGTGTATGTCCCTACAATAATAATGTACGTAATTTATTTTAAAACAGGTTCTTTTTGCGTCAACGTTTTATAAAACATTTTTGTTTGACGACAAACCAGCCGACGACAGTCAAAACTTGACTTGAATTTATGGAATATTTCAAACCTGTTTTGCGTGAACTTAAAAAACAGGCAACAAAAAAGAAAGATTAACTAGGTACTTTTATATACTCATTACCGGATTTTTTTTTCAATGTAATTAGTCCCATGATTGATTTAAATACCTATTCTGCGATTTTGATTTTTTTTAGGTAATCATTGAGCCAAATTACTTAATACGTAGTGGGTACAATTTCAATACATATTCAAATATAAAACTTAGGTTTATTTTTTTATCAGCTGGACAAAGGTCCCAAATATCCAGACTAAAATACAAATAGCAGGTATTATAGAAGAAATTTGTTTTTTCACTTCCGCATTTGTTAGATCATCATAAGATTATGGCTACGCTTAATCGTCAGGTTTATGATATTTTCTTTTTATATGTATCGATAAAACTTTCAAGCTAAGTTTTTTAAACAAATGAAAGAATACATACCCTACACAAAATATATTAGCAATACCTAAACAGAATTATACAAAATTACATTTAGTTAGTTTAATTGCTAAAATCATTAAGTTAATTTTAAAAAAGGGTTCCTTAGACCTCTATACAATGGAATTTAGATTTCAGTTAGACGGGTGAATAGAAATTAATATAGTTTTTGATATAATTTTTCCAACGTCAGTGTCAATCCCATGCATTTGATTCATCTATTTAGCTGCTCGATTAACATTCAAATATAAATCCATTCACCAAAGAACTTTAGCGATATTGGGTAAAATTCATGCTAAAAGCAAAAATATTTCACTAGGATACCAATCACTACTTAAATGTATACCAAAAAAATGTAAGTACTAAATTACTTTAACATTTTTAAAAAAATATGTCTAGCCATTTTCGAAATATAGATAACAAGATTTGGCCTTATGCATAAAGATTTATGAAAATTTCAAATTGATTAAACCTGTACCAGGAAGCCAATAAAAAAAAACAACTATAAAATATACAGACAGATCTTGCATTAAATTTTTTGTCGATAATATTTCTAGGAATCTAAGAAACAGGTATTTTTAATTACTGGTATTCATATTCTTATTACTATCATGAGGACGATTTTCTGTCATTATCTCTAAGACCTAGACAGACCAATTATGTATATCGTTTGATATGTAGGCTACAAGCCATTATATGTAATTGTGTAGTTCTCGTTAAGTTTATTATTAAACGCATTTTCCTTCTGCGAAGTTAATCTTAATTTTTTGTTGATAAATAGACTAAACATTTTCTATTAAAACGTATAATCTCTTAGAAGAACCCGGAAAACTTTATCAGATTGCTAAGTTTCTCAATTAACTATGTTATATATTGGGCTTTTTATTTACTTTTTTACCGATTTTCAATGTGTTTAAAAACGTTTTCCGAAAAATAATATTATATAACCTTATGCCTTTTTGTACCCGAAGGGGTAGGCATTTTTTTACGGGGGGAAAAACATCGAATGACTTCTCCCGCCTGGCTGAAGCGAGAGGGAGTGTCAGACTCTTACTGACTAAAAACCACCCCGTTCCTACTCCTACATTTCAAGCCCGGTAACCCGTTATGTGCTCCGCGGCTCCGTTACATTACACAGTGGCATTAAGTGCCCCTTAATGCCACTGTGTAATGTAACACCCACTTTTCACTGTTTATGTTATAAGTCCCATGTAATAGGGGGTAAGTCTATTGGCATATACCGGGCACAATTACAGACTCCGTGCTACTACTGAGATTTTTCAGAGCATTGCAGTCGCACATGCGACCACTCGGCTACAAAAATATTTAATTTTTTTTATTTTTGTCACTTCTCGACCACTTCAACTTCGTAGCAGTTGTAAACAAATCAACTTTGTATTATGACGCCAGAGTTCACACAAGTCAAACAAAAAATAATAATCCTATGACACATTCTAACGAATCATCTCTTGTTGTTACCTCAAACACGTTTGGCAAGGCAATAAAAAAGTAAACTTCTATAAAAAAATAAATGTTAACATGTCTATACTAATCTGAATACTTAATTATGTAGTTTTTCAAAAAAGAGGTCGTAAACTTCTTTTTGTAAATGTTTTAGGACATAAAACTTTTTTACAAAAAAATGTTTTTATACTTCGAAAAATATATAAAATTATTTTCACTGGAAAGTTTGACATGGCATAGTAGCCATATGGTCTAATTTTGCAAATTATTTATTAATATTATTATTATACATTACGTGTAATATATCCCTAAATAAAATTAGTTAATATTTATTATATGGTATAAGACACTATATACTCCAAAGCGAACGATATCTCCAATAACTCTTCTTTGTACCGCACAGTCAAATATAAAAAAACCCTTTCCACCTTCCGAAATTATACACATACTTCTTAAAACCTTCCCCACTCCATACATACATAAATTGGAACTTATACAAGAAACCAACGGAAACTTAGTGACACCAGTCATAATCGTTGCCTAGGTCGAAACCACATCTAGGTAATATCAAGGCCTGTTTAACCAGTTGAATACATCGGCACCATTGCAAACGCATACTTATTTATACGTAACTAAGATGGTTCGATAGGTCAAGGCTGACAAGACACGTGTAATAAATAAAATCCATTATACTTTTATAGGAATTAATATAAATTTTATGTGACTTTTATAGCACATCTAATTGTTTTCAGCTTCCTAATCATAACAAATGACTTGATGTTGTTTTGCCTTAAGTTATTGATGGATATTCATAGCAAATTGCAGTGTAATGTTGCATAATAGCTAATATTATTTATAGCTAAAGATGTTTACTTAATCTTTTTTCTATTGTTTGCCTTTTTTGTTGGATTAGAATTAGCTGTTTAGCAGATCTTTCTGGAATTTTTCCTATGTTTTGAATCACTACACATGAATCTATATAAATTCCGATAGATATAATCTGAATAATCGAATAATAAATATAATCTGATTAAGCAAATAAATATGATGATTTTAACTTGAACTTAATGTTTTGTTTAAGCCTTTAGCTGCCGATAAAAATTGTTAGTCTTATCCTCCGCTAGCGACGGACATAATTGTCCGACACGGCATCAAATGTGTTAATCTGTCAACATCATTACACATATTGTTCATGAACTTTCTATATTCCATATATACTTAACTCTGATCTGAAATCCAAAATTTTCTACCATATTCAAAATCCTATCTTCATTTTTTGTCTGACATCCATCGCCATTTTTGCAAAGATTGTCGTCACAATTAACAAACAGAAATAATTGGTCACAATTGTCCACAGTTTTCTATTAAAACGTTAGTAGGTAATAAAGGTCCTGTGAACTATCTGTAAATGCTAGCTGGTTACTAAGAAGGCTATTTGCTTGAATTATGTGACACGATAAGCCTAATAATAATACCGAAAGAGTTCACTAGCCCGTAAACGACGGTTTGAGGACATGAATAATATTACAATAATGTTATGGAAATCTTAGTGTTTATACTGTTTGTACTACTTTTTTATTTAACTGTTATTATGTATTTACTTTTTTATGAATTTTATTACGATAGAACAATAGACACGTGGACGGAAACAAGGTGTTAGATACAATCAGTGTAAAAACGTCTACCTCACAGGTCGATTTTTCTAAAGTGAAACTGTGAAGCCAGGGAAATCCCTTGTATTCTCGAACCGGGAAAAATAAACACATTTCCCACACATTTTCATTTTATTGTGTTTTTGAATATTTAAGAATATTTAGTAATAGTACAGAGTCTGAAATTGTATCTACCCACTACACGGGCACAGTTGAACATACTTATGCTTTATGACTCAATTGAGAAGAGACAATAATTTTTATTTTTTTCGTAAAATCAAGTTCGTCTCCTGGTAAATTCGGATATCTTAATAACAGTATATTTCTTCAATATGTTTAACATATGACTCATCCGTCTATCTTATGTCCGAAGTGTCCGACATGATACAGCAAAAATATTCATATTTTTTGTCATGTACAAGAAGTAACAACAAGAAGCAAGTTCGTTTTAATGTTGCCTCCTTTATCGCAAAACATTGTAGTGATTATAAATAATTATGTCTATTTAGATAATTACCCAATTACACAATGTTTATCACGCATGGTATAATTTTAAGACAAGTAAGACAGTTCGTACTTACGATACAAGTAGCAATTTAAAGAGTACTAAGTAATGGGTGCGTGTCTCAAATGATAGAGACTATTCCAAAGCGTCACTAATAATTAAAAAGGTCCAGGATATAAATCTAAGAACCGTACTCAGTAGTGGTACATCTAACAACTCGACACTTTTTACCGACTTCAATAAAAAGAGGAGGTACTATGTTCGGCTGATTGTTTTTTTTTTGTTCGCGCAGGACTCCGCCATTTGCGAACCGATTTCCAAAGTTCTTGTTTTGTTTGAAAGGGTACCGTACTCCCGAGATGGTCTCATTTCCATGAGGTCAGGATCTGATGATGGGATCCTAGGGAAACCGAGGGGAACTTTCAAAAATTTCGACGATGACAAAATAAGCACATGATCCACCAGACAGTAAATGGTCACCGTGGCCTATGAACGCTTGCAACACTTGGGGTATTAAATGAACTTATAAAACTTCAACGCCGGTTCAACAACTTCCAACACTGTAAAAGACCATTCTAAACGCTAGAACAATTCAAATTCAAATGTTTATTATCTAAAGAATTACAATATCTGTCTAACATTGAGGCAGTCCCAGTAACTTATCACGGAGAACCTAACGGGTAACCGGGGCTCCGGCTCGACGTGCAGGAAAAGGAACGGGGTGGTTTTTAGTCAGTAAGAGTCTTTTTTTTTTAAGGGGGAAAAATCATCGAATTACTGCTCCCGCCTGGGTGAAGCGGAAGGGAGTGTCAGACTCTTACTGACTAAAAACCACCCCGTTCCTTCTCCTGCACGTCGAGCCGGAGCCCCGGTTACCCGTTAGGTTCTCCGCGACAGTCAGTAAGAGTCTGACACTAAGGCGGGAGCAGTCAATCGATGATTTTCCCCCCTTAAAAAAAAAAGTCCCAGTAACTTATTATACATTACTTGTGTTAGGACTTATTTATACGTAACTAAGAACAAGAACTTAAAGTATAGAATTTGACAATGGCATTCGAAAATTTATGTCATCATTTAGTTTCTTAGTCCAAATTCCTAATTCCTAAAAGGACGGTAACGCACTTGTAACGCTTCTAGTGTTTCGGATGTCTATGGGCGGCGTCGATTGCTTACCTTTAGGTTATCCATCCGCTCAATTACCGGCTTAACCCATAAAAAATCAATCCTACGTATGACTTTCCTGAACCCGAAGGGGTAGGCAGAAGTGTACATAACGGCACTTAATGCCACTGTACAATGTGACACCCACTTTTCACTATTTGTGTTATGAGTCCCATGTAATAGGGGGTGAGCCTATTGCCATATACTGGGCACATTTCCATACTCCGTGCTACTATTGAGATTTTTTTTTAGAAAACCCAGTAATACTTTGCATGACCCGGAAATCGAACCCGAGACCCCTTGGTCGGCAGTTGCACTTGCGACCACTTGGCTAATGAGGCAGCATGTCCATGTTTAATTTAGCGATATTATTATAATGTGTACGTGGGTGATGTAATAAAAAACAAAGTATGAATGCTTCATCTCTATCATTACAGGAGATTCGAAGATAACTCAAAGTTGATCGTCAAACTCCTGTGCTCTGCTGAATTGAATGGAAAATATGACATGAAAGGACAACTCTTCGTTATTCCCATTGAAGGCAACGGTGGTCTATATTCTAAAGTCCGTAAGTATATTTTTTTGTAGTTTGATAAACCATGTATTTTGGTTTTAAGTAAGGTGTACCAAACAAACGATTTTACCTATTAGAAATAGCCATTTTTACTCCCATTAGTTCTTCCACTACCTATAGAAATACTCGGATATGAAATCTAACTAATATAACATAACATCACGCCTTTTATCCGTCGGGGCATAGGCAGAGGTGCACATTATGGCACTTAATGCAATTGTACAATGTAACACCCACTTTTCACTATTTATGTTATGAGTCCCATGTAATAAGGGGTGAGCCTATTGCCATATACCGCCTCAAGTTATACGGCCTCAAATGCTTACTATTATTTCTAACAATTTACATTTACATTTTGCTGCCTCGTTGGCCGAGTTGTCGCAAGTGCGACTACCGGGCAAAGGGACTCGGGTTCGATTGCCAGGTCGGGCATAATATTACTGGGTTTTAAAAAAAATATCAGTAGTAGCACGAAGCTTGGAATTGTGCCCGGTATATGGCAATAGTCTCACCCCCTATGAGAGAGACTCATAACATAAATAGTGAAAAGTAGATGTTACACTGTACAGTGGCATCAAGTGACGTAATACCCTCTGCCTATCCATTCGGGTATAAAAGGCGCGATGTTATGTTATATTTTCATTGACGAAGTAGCAATTTTATTGTTCATAAATATTTTATTTAAGATAACTAACTAATTATAAATTCATAAAATTTCAGCCAAGATTCTAATCAACGCAGAAGTTGATTTAAATGTCAAGAAAGGCAAAGACGGCAAGGACCATTGGATTGTGAAGTCATGGAGGCACACATTTGAGCTGAAGGACAAATCTACTGTCAAATTCGAGAACTTGTTCCCTGATAATGAATTTTTGAGTAAGTATCCACTAATTACTAATACAGGATTAAGGAATGTGAAAATTAAAAATCTATTCAGTCCATCAGTTAGGTAATGACAAAATATTAGACACGACACGTATTTTTATTTTATCGTATAGCAAAAAAAAACTTAGATGAAACGAATCAAATTTTAGGAATGGGAGCTAGCTACGTCATTTCTACGTATAAATCGTTTTCTATAAGTGACGTCATGCGACATTTCAAATCGTCGAAAGTATTTGTTTCCGCAAGAAAATAAAAATGTATACATGGATTTTAAAATAATCCACAAGACAAACATTAAAATAAAAATTAGTCATCTACCCTGTAATGTTCAATAGCATGTAAATCCTACGACACTTAGTTATGTAAATAAGTACAGTCAAAGGTTAAACGTCCACTGCCACCGTGAGTGATGTTCACACGGTAATACGTAAGTAATTTCATATTAATGTGCATAATAGCGCGTGCGTACGCATAAACACACGCACGCGTACGAACACGGATAAAAATATGCGTGTGTATAAGCGCTGCAGCGCCGATAGTGCCTGCTATCGGTTACAGTGGCAGTGGACTTTTGACCTTTGACCGTACATTCAATAATAACACACATAATAGTCACATAGTGGTCAAACGTTGGCGCATCAAATATATAATTATATAAAAAATATTTGGGTATTATTTATTGGGCAGTGCGCACTAACGCTCTACGTGCCGGTCGGTAACCAACTGACTTAACAGAAGAACCCGCGCACTATTTATTATCAACGTAATATGATAGGTGACGGTATTGTGGAATATACGAATACCCGTATACACTACGTTCCTTATTACTATAATTATGATAGCGCGGTACACGTGCAGGCGGATCACCTAATGGTAAGCAATCGGCACCGCCCATGGACATCCATAATACGAAAGCAGTTATGAGTACGTTGCCTGCCTTTTAGGGCTTTTAATATGTATTAACTGGAATCACAATCAAATACAAACTAAATGGTGAAACAAGTAATTGATAGTCTAATTTCAGAATAGAATAAAAGCAATAGAATTTTTAAATTTTCAAGATATTCTGCACAGAGCTGGAACGATGCCGGTATATGGCAATAGGCGTTTTCTATATTACATACTAGTAAATCCATAGATACATCTACATTGTATTTAATAGCGCAGATCTGCAATACTGTGACATAATCAACACAAAATGTAATAAATTAATCGAGAGTCTGAAAAATTTTATATAATATTCTTGAGAGAATTATTCCTTTTATTTACATTACGTAATAAGAAACTTAATTTACATTAATATGAAACTATTTACAACTTAAAATACACAAATATTTAGTTATTTTTTCCCCCCCTCTCTCTCTCTCTCTTTGCTGTTAGTTTATTCTCCGTACCTTATTTTTCGCAGATTTTCTACTTAAACCCTAAAGTTGACTGGTAGAAAATGCCATATGGCTTTAAGTTCGCCTTATGTGCCATAATCAAATTGTGTACATTAAAGACTAAATAAATTAATAATAAAAAAGAAAAAAAGAATAAAAAGAAAAAAATACTATTTACACTACACAGAGCAACAAAAAAAATCGTCGGCATAGATGTCAGTAGAGAATTATTAAAAACTAGCTTTTACCCGCGGTTTCGCTCGCGTCACAAAAGGATAAAAAGCCAATGTGACATATACCAATACACACAGCGCCATCTATACCAATACTTATGTTTTCCCCCGGGAACATCAAATTTTCCGGGATAAAAAGTACCCTATTATTTAATCCGGACTTCTAACTATACATCTCCAAAAATTAAAAGCAATCGGTTTAGTAGTTATGGCGGGAAAGCGAAACAAACCAACAAACAAACAAACTCACTTTCCGATTTATAATATTAGTAAGGAAGTAAGGATAATTAATGTCATAATAAAAGATTATCATGGTGTTCTAATTCCATTTTTCTATATTCCAGGAACATCCACCAACGAACTGATTGCTCAGAACGGTAATGATGTGATCATCGAAATTGGAGCTAATCTCATCAAAGCTATAGTCGCTAAAGTTGTGGAGAACATCAAGAGATTCTTCCTCGCAGTACCAATAGAAGACCTTTCGCTTTAAATGAACACTGATGCCAATTATAGTACACATGCACTTGACAAAATTTTAACACACAAACACTAAAATAAATTAAATTGTTTTTATGACTAGACCTTTTATTTTATTAACAAAACATCACGCCTTTTATCCCCAAAGGCGTAGCAGAGGTGCACAATATAAAACCAACTTTTCACTATCTATTTATGTTATAAGTCCCATGTAATAAGGGGTAAGCCTATTGTCGTATACCGAGTACAATTCCAGACTTCGTGCTTCTACTGAGAATTTTTAAACTTTTCAACGCGATTTTTAGTTAATCACACGATTTGTCAATTTATTTAGATTAGATGACCATAGAATAATGTAGTGCAATAGACCTGGTCTGATGATAGAGTTGAAAGATGATTTATGGAACCTTGAGCTACCCATTAAGTAATATCGATTTTGGGCTTATTAGTTCTGTTGTAATAATGTAAATTTTATAATCTTAAGCATCATCAAATGTTACAAGTAACGCCACCTGGTGTATGATTAAACCTAGTAATTCAAAGCACAATAATAAATACTTTGACTTTGACTATGTCCATTTCTCATGATGAAGAAGATATAATGACTAAAAGTGTGTTTTAGTTTTAAATTATTATGAATTTATTACAATTATACATACATTCATAACATCACGCCTTTTATCCATATTACATAGACTGCCTTATTGGCCGAGTGGTCACAAGTGCGACTGCCGGGGTCGGGGTTAGGCTAAGGTAAGGTAACGGCTAAGGGGTCTCGGGTTCGATTCCCGGGTCAGGCAAAGTATTACTTCACTGCGAGGATCGCCCGCAGGACACGGTGGAGCATACGGTGGCAGTGTGCCCTGTGTGGGCTGAGCACCACCGTGTCCTCAGGGATGTGATCGGCGGCACCGACTTCTCGCGTCCGGTTCTGGTTAAGACCATGGTACGGAGCGACGGGGACTGGGATGCCGTCTCCTCCTTCTGCGATGCTAGCTAAGGAGGAGGCAGAGCGCGTGAGGGAACAAACCTCCTCACGCCCCGGCCGTCGCGAGAGACACTCCGGGCGTCGGGGATCGCGAGACGATCTCCGGCCACCGTAAGCACGGGCCTGCGTACGGCGAGCACGGGTAACTCGCCGCCCGACCAGAACCAGACCCGAGCGTACGACGCGTCGCGTTCCGCGCGCGCCTCAAGGAGACATCAGACCACCACAGACGGGGCCCAACAGGGCTGATGCCGATACGAAGTCGCGGAAGACCTAACGGGTTAACGGGGCTCCGGCTCGAAGTGCAGGAGTAGGAACGGGATGGTTTTTATTCAGTAAGAGTCTGACACTCCCTCTCGCCTCACCCGGGCGGGAGAAGCCATTGGATGATTTTCCCCCCTCAAAAAATAAACGCACGGTATTACTGGGTTTTTCAAAAAAATCACAGTAGTAGCACGGAGTCTTTAATTGCCCCTATTACATGGGACTCAACATAAATAGTAAAAAGTGGGTGTTACATTATACAGTGGCATAATGTACACCTCTGCTTATTATAATTATGTTCACCTTTATATTGCAATCTTTGATTTTCTTATTTTTATCGATACAAAAAATGACATTACCGCAAAAGTAATTAATCTAAATAGAATAAAACAAAAAATCTACCTACGATATCTTAATTTAATGCAAAAAAACAATACAAAAGAAACTAGTTTTACAAGTACAAAAACAGTTCTTTTAAAAGGATTGATATGTAACGTCAAAGAGGATTTATGGCAATTTTAGACATTCGAACCTGTATGTAATTTTCACGGTCATGTTTTGAATATCTACTTCACGATAAATAAGTACACCTGAGTATACGGTGGGTCACATTCCGCGCTCGCCTATATGGTGATGCCGATATGGTGCTACGGAGGAAGAGTTGGAGACTGCCTCTTGCCTCACTGGGCGAGAGAAGTAATTGGATGACTTTTCCCCCTCAAAAATAAAACAATAAGTATAAGGATGTCTCTTTATTTAAGTACATTGCATGCGCCATTACTTAACTACTATGTTCTAGATCCGATTTTTGAGTCCAACAAGGGCAAAAATTTTTGTTTATAATCCGTACACTTTCGACTGATGTATATGTCGCGTAGAACCTAACGGGTTACCGGCGCTCCGGCTCGACGTGCAGGAGAAGGAACGGGGTGGTTTTTAGTCAGTAAGAGTCTGACACTTCCTCCTTCCTCACCCAGGCGGGAGCAGCCATTCGATGATTTTCCCCGTGCGCTAGCACCTTAAGGGTTAGAGTTGGATGTCGCTGTACATCTTTCGAGTACTGCTGATCCATTTAGCTAGTCAATCAATCTTTACTTGTGCACCAAATTAGAAGAAAATCTCTTTGTTTGTTTTTCACGTCGCGATAAAAAGGGGTGATATTATGATACAATTTTTTTGTCTGGAGATAGATAAGAGGCTCCAGAGTGATGTAGGCTTCGTGTTTTAATTCTAACCGTTGACGCCAAGGCTATAAATAAAGATGTTTAAAAAATAGACATGGGATTACAACTCATCTATGATCTCTCATCATTCAATTCCTAGCGATATGGAAGTGAGCCTTGTAAATTATATCATTTCCTAACCTTCAACATAATGTTTTTTATCGGTTTACATTTACGTAGTTGTTACCATGACAGTGTACTTACAAATATGTACAAAAAAGTAACGAAGGCAAAAACTACTCAATTATATTATCAAATCGTATATAGCATCCTAAAACTTGTGTGGTGAGTTTGAACAAATTTTTAATTATGTATTCTCGTACCTTTTAAATAAGTTACACAATTCATCGAATTGAGTTCGAAGGTTATCCGATACCTTTTTTGTATTCTGTAAGAGCAGAAAGAAATAAAAATGCACAAGTATATAATTATGGATCTCGTATATAAAGAAGTATTTGGTTTGCTAATTTAGTATTACTGATTGTTGATCATAGGTAAACACATTAAAATGGTGCCGTTATTACTTATAGTTGCAAGTGTTGCAGGATTGATTAACTTCTCAAATGCTGCTTCAGGTAATTGATTTTGTACTTTCTTGACAATCAGTATAGTTTGTATTAATTTCATCATTTAAAATTCAAAATAATTCAAATGACATTTTTAAATACTTAATTTAATTTAGATTTTTAATTATTATTACTTAAATTTCTTGAATATTCTGGTTATTGACAAATAAAATTAATTTAACATTGTTTAACAAGCAATAAATTTGTTCCTACTTTCTCAAATACGGACTGTATTACCCCCGATGTTGTGTCAGTAATTATTTTTCACTCGTCCAATTGTTCCAAATGAAAATTATTAGATAATAATAACAATATTTTTGAAATACATAATTGTAAATAATAAAAAAGTACCATATAGTTTCAATGATCTATAAAATCCTGTCTTTGTGCATAAATTAACTGACAAATGAAAACCAATTGTCTTGATTTCAACTGATGATCATTTTCAAAAAATAATATCTATTTTCAATTGTAACTTTTTACTATTATTAAAAATATATACAAGCGGAAACTCACACAAGAAGCTAGTCTATCTTAGCTAACCTTGACCTATTGAATAGTGAAGTCAAGGCCAAAGCTTGGTTGCATTAATATTATTCATAGCATTTTTGCAACGAACATAATATAAATATTTTATCAGATGTAGACAGGACATAGTAATTTTATCTTTTCTTATAGAAAATTTATTTTTAAAATAATTGCCTAAATAGATATAATTTAGGAATATCTTAACGTAGAAAGATTGAGAGAGTGTTTTTTAGTATATATCTAAGCAAAAATATAGTTAAAAGTCGAAAAATAGACCAATCGATACGCCGAAGAGGGTTAGATACCCTAGACAATGTATATGTAATCTCTCAATATCCAAAATAGCAGTACCAATTCTGATAAAGTTGTCACGTAATTCCTTTATACTTACAGCTGGTTTCGTCGTACCATGCCATGCCTCGGACGAGAAATGTTTATTTGACAACCTTGATAGAGGTATAGTGGCATATAAAGATGGCATACCAGAGCTAGGAGTCGAAAAAATGGACCCAATGCACTTAAAGGAAGTAGACGCTAGTTCACCAAACCTCAAGTTTTTACTCAAGGATCTTACAGTCACTGGGTTGAAGTCTTGCAAGCCACTCAAACTGAAGTAAGTGCAGCCCTACTTATTTCTTTTTTTTTTATGAATTAGATTTTATGAAATCATGTATGTAGTTCTTATCATTCTACTTAATCATCTCGTACTTACCATGGCTGCTTCCATTCTAAACGTTACATTTGATAGAATCTAGCTTATCTTAAAAAAAGGCTTCATCAATCATCATCATTTATAGTCTGTTGATGAATCATCATCAACAGCCTATAAAAATCCACTGCTGACCAAAGCCCTCTTCTCACTCAAAGAAGGTTTGAGCATTAATCATCACGCTTCCTCAATGCGGGTTGGCGATTTCAAACGTATAATTAGAAATTATAAACCCATTATTTTTTTATTTTTTTTATATTTTCTCACGATGTTTTCCTTCACCGTTTGTCAATGGCGTCTAAATAATCTTAGAAAACACATATAACTCGGAAAACGTCATATTGGTACTTGCTGTTGGTAGGTTTCGAACCCGAACCCTCGTGCAAGGGATCTCGGGTTCGACTACCGGGTCAGCTAAAATGTTATCGGGCAATTTCTCTTTAATAGCACAGGGTCTGAAATTGGGCCCGGTGCAATGGCAATGGGCTCATTCCCTAAATCATGGTACTTATAACATACGTGATCTTATAAGAATCGTAGCAATAGGGATGCTGACAGGGTATGAAAGTTAAAAATCTCATTAGTCCGTAAGTTAGGTAATGAAAAAATATTAGACTCGTATTTTTTTTATTCACTCATATAATAAAATAATACTTAAATAAAACGAATTAAAGTTTAGGTGTGGGGGCTAAAACGTCATTTCTACGTATAAAATGTACATAGAAGTGACGTCACATGACATTTCAAATCAATATATCGTCGAAAGTATTTGTTTCTGTAAGAAAATAAAAAATACGTGTGTAATGATTAAAAACAATCGACCA